AAACATCAATGAGAGAGAAACATCGATCAGCTGCCTCCTGCACATCACCTACTGGGGATGTGCCTGCAACCCAGGTACATGCCCTTGACCGGAATCAAACCCAGGGCCCTTGAGTCCACAGGCCGATGCTCTATCCACTGAGCCAAACCGGTTAGGGCAATTAATTCCCTTTTAATGTGCATGAATTTTGTGCACCAGGCTACAAGTATGTTTTATATCACAATAGAAACAAAAAGAGTAAAAAGAAATTATGCAGAGGTTCATAAGCTTTACCAGATTGCTAGAAGTTTCACAGCACAGAAACAGGTGAGGCGCCTCTGAACTGCAGGGCCTGCACGGTCACAGTGGGTATCACACGAGGTGGGTCCCATGTTGGTGACCACAAGTACTGCGTGGGCACAGCGGGTATGAGTTTAGAAGGATGTCACTCTCTGTCACTAATTAGTCCATCATGGTTACTTTTGGTTGTTGTTGTTAAGAGACTGGTAATGGTGGTCAATCAAACAATGGATTTACTAAATATCATCCTTACATGCTGTGAGGGACATCCAAGAAGTTTACAATCAAGAAGGTGCTACATGCCCTAGGTTTGGCTCAGTGGATAGAGCACCGGTCTGCGGACTGTAGGGTCCCGGGTTTGGTTTCAGTCAGGGACATATGCCTGGGTTGCAGGCTCAATCCCCACTAGAGTGCATGTGGGAGGCAGCCAATCAATGATTCTGTCATCACTGATGTTTCTCTCTCTCTCTCTCCCTCTCCCTTCCTCTCTGAAATAAATAAAAAAATATTTTTTAAAAAAGAAGATGCTACAAACAAAGCACACACACACCAAAAAAAAAAAACCACACCAAAAACCTGAAGAGAAATCACCCTGTAAACTAAGGGTTCTGATGCCAGGGATTCAGAGGAGGTAGACAGAAGTGGGCACCAAAAGGAGTCAAATAGGGGTATGGTGCTGTCAGCTTGGTGGCAGGTAAATGACCACACACACGCACCTGCACTGGATATGGTGTTTGAAGGTGGTGATGTCAATATCCAAGTTCCCAGAGGAGGCAGACCTCCTCCTGTAATCCTGTTGAAAGGTCTCCTCATTGTACACATCTCGCTTGACATCATACGAGTAAGAATTTTCCCTGTATCTAGAGTCAAAATCCTGATAGCTCCTTGGTGGCTGCATCATTCCTGGACAGGTGGAAACAGACCAAACAGAAAACAATTTTATTTTATTTTTTTTAAATATATTTTATTGATTTTTTACAGAGAGGAAGGGAGAGAGATAGAGAGTTAGAAACATCGATGAGAAACATCGATTAGCTGCCTCCTGCACATCTCCCACTGGGGATGTGCCCGCAACCCAGGTACATGCCCTTGACCGGAATCGAACCTGGGACCTTTCAGTCCGCAAGCCGATGCTCTATCCACTGAGCCAAACCGGTTTCGGCCAGAAAACAATTTTAAAAATATAGACCCCTTTAGTAAAATTTCCATATAATGATACCTTACATTTGCATAATGCATTGCAGTATTATAAAACTTCCTCATGTGTTTTATAATTTCATACTCACAACTAGCCTATAAAGAATGCAAAGTGAGAATCAGTCTCATTTTGGAGAAACCAAAGCCCAGAAGTTTAAACAGACTTGACTGTTAAATAATTAGAGTCAGGACTGGAACCCAGGTGTCCCGCTAGGAAACCCAGTTTTCTTTATATTCGGGTATGTTGTAGAGAAATGAATATGAGGTAAAAGTCAGTATAACCACCAATTTTCACTAAACATGCTAAGGGTTAAGTGGTCAGTCAAGACAGTGTCTTCTACCTCCTCGATGGGAATAGCACACCTATCATTATCCCTTTACCTTTCCTGTTCTTCCTAGCAACTGCTTATCCATTTGACCATTGTCTGATTCCCATACTAAAATGTAAGTCTAAGAGGTGGGACTTTGACTGTTCATGGCTGTATTCTCAGAGCCCAGAATAGTGCCTGACACTTAGTATGACCTTAACAAATATTTCTGAAATGACTACGTAGTATCCAGTTAGCGGCATCATGGTGTAGCAGAAAAAGCGTTGCCCAGGTTCTCAGGAGAATGGGCTTCTGGCCCTAGGCTGTTTCCCTAACTAGCTGTCTGACTGGGGGCAAGTTTCTTAAAAAATAAGTTTCAGTTTCCTTGTCCATAAAATGACGTGGTTGGACCAAATGATATCTAAGGGCCACTTTAAGATTTAAAACTCTGGAGACAATGAGGAGGAGGAGGAGTTAATGATGGATATAAATCCACTTCTGAAAGAAAACAGAACCATTCTTGATCATTTGTGTTTTTAATAACAAAAAAGGCATAAAATCTAAAATTCTTCCACATAGTTCCACCAGTGTGGCTCAGTGGTTGAGGTCAAGCCATGAATCAAAAGGTCATGGTTCAATTCCCGGTTGGGACACATGCCCAGGTTTTGGCTCGATCCCCAGTGCAAATGGCAGCTAATCAATGATTCTCTCTCATCATTGATGTTTCTATCTCTCTCTCCCTCTCCTTTCCTCTCTGATGTCACATAAATAGGTAAATAAATAAATAAAATTCTTCTACATAAATATAAAAAAACATATATATATATATGGTAAAAATCATATCTCTATATATAAAAGCCCAGCGACCATTATGGTGGAATGACTGGAACAACCAGTCACTATGACGCACCAGCCGCAGGGGCCACCACCCCGGGGCCAGTGCGTGGCCATTGCCAAGGCACTGGTGGTGGTCCCTGGTAAAGAACGTGTAGGTGGCCAGCGTGAGCGTGCAGTTTGAGATGAAGGCTCTGTGGGACAAATTTAATCAGTTGGGCACCAAGATGATCATCACCAAGGCTGGCAGGTCAGGGTGCCCTTCTCCCTGCGGCGACCCTCCCCACATGGCACCAGTCTTGGGCAGCAGGCTTTGGCCCAATCCATGCGAGCGAGGCTGAGAAGTGGGGGTGGGGAGACGTGGCCTGGCCACCTGTGGGTCCCTCTCGGCATGGGCCAACTCCTTCACTCTCCGAGTCCCGGCTCTAGCGACAGCCGCCCGGTGTGCCAGGCTGGAGGGTACTGCTGGGGAGGCCAGGAAGGTGGCAGAGAGAAACCCTGTGGACTTGCTGCCCAATGAGCAGTCCAGGACCCGGCACCACCAGAAATGGACCAGCTCAGAGCATACCAAGCTTGTGAGGAAGGCAGCTGCCTGTGAGGGGCCTTGCTACCAGCTGGCTACCGGTGGAACCCACTTCAAAGGAAACTCAGTCTTTGGTTCCTTAGTTCATGCGTGGCCATTGCCAAGGCACTGGTGGTGGTCCCTGGTAAAGAACGTGTAGGTGGCCAGCGTGAGCGTGCAGTTTGAGATGAAGGCTCTGTGGGACAAATTTAATCAGTTGGGCACCAAGATGATCATCACCAAGGCTGGCAGGTCAGGGTGCCCTTCTCCCTGCGGCGACCCTCCCCACATGGCACCAGTCTTGGGCAGCAGGCTTTGGCCCAATCCATGCGAGCGAGGCTGAGAAGTGGGGGTGGGGAGACGTGGCCTGGCCACCTGTGGGTCCCTCTCGGCATGGGCCAACTCCTTCACTCTCCGAGTCCCGGCTCTAGCGACAGCCGCCCGGTGTGCCAGGCTGGAGGGTACTGCTGGGGAGGAACCTGGGGAGCCTGGAGCCCATGCTCAGCTCCAGCTCAGTGGGTCTTCTCCAGGCCCCTCCCTCTGGCCGGCCCTGCCCCTGAGTGCCCCCCCCAATTAGGGGTGTGGCTGGCCTACCTCCCACATCCCCTCCCCCAGCACCGGCTTGACCCTGATTGGCCCTCTTTGGGGTGGGCTGGTTGTACCTCACCCATGCACAAATTCATGCACTGGGCCTCTAAAATATATATATACTAGAGATTTGGTACATGAAAATTCATGCGCTGGACGGGGGTCCCTCAGCCCGGCCTGCCCCCTCTCACAGTCTGGGAGCCCTCAGGGACAGGAGGCGACCCAGCATTCAGGAGAAGGCGACGCCCCCATTACACCTCTGCTGTTGCCACTGCTGATAGCGCAAGCCTTGACCAGACCTGCTTACCTGGGTCTTGGGCTCAGGGGAACTACACCCCATCACACCTCTGCTGCTGCCACTGCCAGTAGTTCAAGCCTTGGCCGGCCCTGATTACCTGAGCCTCGGACAGCTGTGGTGGCTAGGCAGCCACCATCCAAGGCTTGCCTGGGCCTTGGGCCAGCCCTGGGTGGCTGGGGGGCTGAGGGGACTGGGCACCGCCATCTTGTGGATGTGAGTGCTGCCATCTTTGACGGCAGAGCAGTCAATTGGCATATTCCCTTCTTATTGGCTGTGGGCGCCGCCATCTTTGAGGGCGGGGCAGTCAATTAGCATATTCCCTCTTTATTAGATAGGATATATATGAGGCCCAGTGCACAAAAATTTGTGCACTGGCGGGGGGGGGGTCCCTCAGCCCGACCTGTGCCCTCTCACTCTGGGACCCCTTGGGAGATAACCACCTGCTGGCTTAGGCCCACTCCCTGGGTTGCAGAGGGCAGGCCCGGATCCTGTGCTGGGTCACAGATGGCAGGCCCGGATGGCGGCGGGCCAGGCGGTGGCTCATGCTGTGCCGCCCCGCCTACAGTATACAAATTTAACGGCCATCTTTGTTGGGTTGATTTACATACTCTTCTGATTGGCTGATGGGAGTAGCGATGGTATGGTCAATTAGCATCTTTGTCTTTTATTAGTGTAGATATATATATTAGAAGTCCAGCGCATGATTCAAAATTGTGTGGTGCTGCCCACCCTCTGGTCCGGCCCTGCAGCAGCCACAGCCACTGCTGATCCAGCCCTGCCTCCCTCTCCGGCCTTTGAAGCAGCCACAGCCGCAGGTGCACAGAGGCCCCTGCCACCCTGCCCCCAATGCTGCGTGCGCAACCTCCTCCTATCTGGTTGAACCATTACGGCACCCTAGTTAATTAGTATATTTCTCTATTATATATATTCATATATATATGATTGATACCTTGCATTTGCATAATACACTGCAGTTTTATAATAGCTATAAAATATATAGGTAAACACAAAGTATGTAGATTATATAAATAGTTCTCTTTTTTTAATCCTCACATGAGGATATTTTTCCATTGATTTTGTTAGAGAGAGTGGAAGGGAGGGGGAGAGACACACATACACACAGAGAAACATTGATGTGAGAGAGACTTATCAATTGGTTACCGCCTGCACAAGCCCTGAGCAGGGCCAGGGATTGAGCTTGCAACTGAGGAAAATAAATTTTTTTCATGAGTTCTTTTCATTTAATTCCCACAATAATCCAAGCATTACTGTTATCCCCATTTTAGAGGTGATAAAACTGAGGTTTTAGAAAAATAAATAATTGGGCTATAGTTACATATTGTATTTTTTCCCTTAAAGCGCTGGGTATCACTGGTGTGCTATATAATACATATGAACTAAAAATCACAAATTCTATAAAGAAGTGAGAATGTTGTTGGGGAATATCAAAGATGGAAGAGGTATTTCACTATGTATCACTTAAGAGAATTAGGACTTCATGTCTTTTACAGAAAAACAAACAAACAAGTAGAACTGTACATTAATACATTTCCCCTCCCCCCTTATAGCAATATTGACCCAGTTTTGTTTCGTTTTACAATGTAACTTTACAGTAAAATTCCATTACTAGAATATATCTCTTTCTGGCATCTAAAAAAGCCTAATTAACCTGCTAATATTGAGATTATAGTAACTGCCACCCTGGGTTGGATCCAGGGTCTAAAATCCAGCATTTTGTTTCCAAAAGTGGCACTGAGGCCAGGTTGGTGAAACGCTGGCAATGTGTGAACATCAAGGACCGTGGGAACAGTGGGACTCAGGGGGCAGCGGCAGCCGCTCAGCGCCAGCAATTGTTGTCATGGGTCATGTTGGGCCCAGCATGACAGATCTGACCTCCTCCAAGAGAAGCCGTAATTCCAGAGTTTATGTGAAGTCTTCTGACTTTTAATGCTGTCAATTACTGTATATATTTTTAAAACCATAGTACACATCTAATAAACACCTCTGCAGGCTGGATTTGGCCTGTGGACCTCCATGTGTGACTTCTGTATCAAGAGCCTTGTTACTGAAGACACACACACAAAAACCCTCATCTCCTCCCATCACAAATTAGTTTATCCTCCAAGAATTTCCCTCTCCTCCAAGGCTGAAGTATTTTTATTTTCTGTTGTCGTACCCTTTGGAGGTATCATATCCCATGAGTTCATTTATGGGAAGTAGTATTTCATTATACTGTCTTCAATCTACATCATTTCTATTCAAAAAATGGCTTTCAGACTAGACTAGACTAGGACTTAGTAAGTTTGTCTGTTTTTATTTTCACAGTTTTGTAAATTCCTCCCATATGTAATCTTGGTCTTCATTTGTTTCTGACTAAAGAATACTGTTTCACTTGTGGTCAATTAATTTAGTGTTCCACAAACACTTACTGAATGCTAGGTGCTCTGGGGATACAAAAACTCTACAGTTTACTAAAATAAAAATATGATGCTCTGAGAGTTTAGAAATAAGAAATACAGGAATTGCCCTAGCCGGTTTGGCTCAATGAATAGAGCGTCGGCCTGTGGACTGAAGGGTCCCAGGTTCAATTCTGGTGAAGGGCACATGCCTGAGTTGCGGGCTCAATCACAAGTAGGGGGTGTGCAGGAGACAGACGATCAGTGATTCTCTCTCATCATTGGTGTTTCTATCTCTCTCTCCTTCTCCCTTCCTCTCTGAAATGAATAAAGAAATAAAAAAAAATACGGAATTAACAGTTATTGCTGCCTGCCATGTGCAAGGTTCTTCACACATTATCTCAAGAGATAGGTACTATTTTCCTGATAATGATTATATTCATTTTACTGGTGAATTTAGTGATGTCCTCAGAGTCCTACAATTACTAGTAAATAGCAGAGCCAGGATCTGAACTTGGTCTTTCTGATTCCAAAATAGATACCACATCCTAATACCATTGTGATCTCCTACAGAGTGGAGTTAATAATCCCAACCCAGAGGGATGAGGAAGACCTCCTGGAAGAGATATGATTTGAGCTCTGCTCTGTCCAAACTGGGGGCAGGGAGGAGAATAAGGTATTTTAGGAATAGGACAGGATAAATGTCAGAGATAATAAAATAATAAGGCAAAAAAAAATTTTAAAGATAATAAGGCAAGTAATTCAATAGATTTTAATAAAGTCAATGATAAGCCCAAAAAAGTAGGTTGAGGCCTATTGTCAGAGGGTCTTGAATGCTTGATTCAACCTGGTCATTTCAGCTATTGAAAGGGTTTGAGCAGATGTAGTCATATGCACAGAGACATGCTTTGGGAAAACAAGTACGTTAATGGTATGGTCTAGAGCTATGCTGTCCAAGACAGTAGCCATTGGCTACTTGTGGCTATTTTAATTTAATTTAATTTAAATAAAAATTTCAATTCCTCAGCCACACTAGCTACATTTTCTTATTTTTAAAATGTTTTTTATTGATTTTTTTTTTTTAGAATGAGAGAAAAGGAGAGGGATAGAGAAATAGAAACATTGATGAGAAAGAAACATCATTGATCAGCTGCCTCCTGCATGCCCCCTACTAAAGATTGAACCCGAAACCTGGGCATGTGCCCTGACCAGGAATCAAACCGGTGACCTCTTGATTCCTGGGTCGATGCTCAACCACTTGGCCACACTGGCCGGGAACACTAACTACATTTCAAGTGCTCAACAGCCAC